TTCAATAGTTCGAATTAGGTTTGAAAAAATGTGGCAGGCGCATCCCAATACGATAAGTTTAGCATCCCAACTTCCCAAGTATTGGTTATTTTAAGCATCAATGTTTGGATTTATCTAAAGAAAATTATGTACTAAAGTGGTTTAGCAAAAAGAAAACTTTGTACTTACGCAAATTATTTAGGTAAATTTAATTATTAATTAACTTGGGTCTTCTTCTAAAACCAGAATTCAGAATTAGAGTTTACAGTCGAGTTTTTTCTTTGCACCTAACCATTTCTAAAACAGTACATTCTCTCTGACCATATTGTTTTCTGTTTTTCTTCAGGTAGAAAATCTATTTTTTTTTTTTTGTTCAAAAGGTAAAACATCTCATTAATATCTCTTTAATTAGAAAATCAATTTCAAAATTCTTAACTTTATCCATTTGTTTATCATTTTCAAGTAAAAACAAACTCACAAAATCACAAATCCAGCTAGGTCCAAGTTCCAACCAAGCAAAAAAAAAAAATCCTTATAAATTCATCATCACCAAAAACAACACATTTCAAAATCCAGTAAAACACAAAAACAGCAACAAAATGTCACCTTCTAAAACCATAATAACTTTGGCTCTCTTCATAGCAACAACACTAGTCGCTTTCTGCAACGCAAACGCCGCAAACGCCACAACGCAACCGCTATTCCCAGCGATTCTAATCTTCGGCGATTCAACAGTCGACACAGGCAACAACAATTACCACATACAAACAATCTTCAAGGCTCAACATTTTCCTTACGGCGTTGACCTCCCAAACCACAGAGCTAACGGAAGATTCTCAAACGGAAAACTTATCTCCGACGTAATCGCAACAAACCTCAACATCAAAGAGTTTGTTCCTCCTTTCTTACAACCTAATCTCTCCGACCAAGACATTGTCACCGGAGTCTGTTTTGCATCAGCTGGTGCTGGTTACGATGACCTAACCAGTCTCTCGACACAAGCCATTCGTGTCTCGGACCAACCAAAGATGTTCAAGAGTTACATTGCTCGTCTCAAGAGTATCGTGGGAGACAAGAAAGCTATGGAGATTATAAGCAATGCTTTGGTGGTTGTAAGTGCAGGACCTAACGATTTCATCTTGAATTATTACGATATTCCTTCAAGGCGTCTCGAGTTTCCTCGCATTTCTGATTACCAAAACTTTATTCTTAAGAGGCTTCACAAATTCGTTCAGGTAAATCTCGCATAATGCATGTTGTTGACAAGAAAAGACTAAAATGTAAACCCTAAACCCTAATCTCTTTGCTGGTGTGTGTTTGCAGGAGCTTTACAGTTTAGGTGTCCGGAATATTATGGTCGGAGGATTACCGCCGATGGGTTGTTTACCGATTCAAATGACTGCTAAATTCCGCAACATCTTAAGATTCTGCTTAGAACAAGAGAACAGAGACTCTGTTTTATACAATCAGAAACTTCAAAAGCTATTACCTCAGATCCAAGCATCTCTTACAGGAAGCAAGCTCCTCTACGCCAATGTCTATGACCCTATGATGGACATAATTCAAAACCCTAGCAAATACGGTATGCATTCTCTTTCTTGTTCCACAAGTTAAATCATATAAGGATGATTATATCGACCACTGATTGATTATATGGTATTTCAAAACAGGGTTTAAAGAGACGAAGAGAGGATGTTGTGGAACAGGGTTTTTGGAGACGAGTTTCATGTGTAATGTTTTTTCTCCGACTTGTCAGAATCACTCGGAGTTTGTGTTCTTTGATTCGATTCATCCATCGGAAGCTACCTATAATTACATGGGCAATGTTATCGACAAGGCGATTCGTGGGTGGATTGCGGCTTAAGGCATCAAGATTTGCAAAACTGAAACAATG